TGTTTAATAACTTTTGATGATGAGGAAATATAAAGTGAAGAATTTGATTATTCTGGAATACTCGATTGAATCGATCAATTAAATATTAAAATAAGTTGAGACTCGGCTAACGCATGATTTGCTTCAGCTTTGGAGAAGTTGAGCCGGGAAGCAACTGTCTCCGCGCTTACAACGGGCACCAAATGAAGGCAATATCTGAAATGGGTACCACATAAACGAAATAATAAATACCAAATGATTTCATTATGAATGTCAGCCAGACATTTATTGCCGAACAGCCGTCTATCCGCAAGGGCCATGGCTGGGTTGGGGGCTGGTCCTGTATTTTTGGTGGCATTTCTTTCATTACGAGAAATTGCGAGGGCAAAATAAAAAAATTTCTTAATTTCGTTTCATTTCATCAGGAATAGCAGCAGCAGCAGCAGCAGTAGCAGCAGCAGCTACAAGATTTACAACATACTGAGAGCATAAAATAAAAATCTTTTCTCTTTTTCCATTTTCTTCGTTTTTTGTTTGCTAAAATGCCAGCGAACATTGCGAGGGGTGAGCGAAATAAATAAATAAAATAAAAACCTTAGAAATAGAATGAATAAAAATACTCGAACGTACAAAAGGCAGCGCCCAACTGACAATGCTACGTTTTCCTAGTGCCCCCCCGACTGCCACGCCCCGGCCCGTCCCGGCCCGCTTCAAGCGGCAGGCGTTGACAACGTTAATAGTTATGGGCGTGGTGATGGCCTGGTCGGGTGTGGGCTGTGCCACACACGCAGACCATCCAATTGGAACGCATATTTCTGCGAATGCAATAAAACGCACATGTGTTTCCAATCGTCCTGGCCGTCCTGCGAGTCCTGGCGCCCTCAGAGCTCAGTTAGTGCTCGGTCTTTCTCGCTGCCTCGTGCTCGTTTTCATCATAATTTCTATGTGGTTGGCAAATAAATTTGATTTTGAGCGAATTTTCTGAAGATTGACTAAATGACTGACTGACTGACTGACTGTCTGTCTGCCTGCCTGACTGTGGGACTGACAGTTGGTTTGGCATGGGGTCTGCCCCTTGACAGCGACTTGTAGTTAACTCTAGGGATTGCAGCTCACCAAGGCAACTGGCATTTTGCTGAGTTTTGCGATTTCCGCCCTGGAACTGTGCATTGACCTGCCATTGTGCCAAACAAGCTCCGCACAAAAAAAAAAAAATAAAAATAATAATAATAAAAGAAAGAAAAGGAAATTGAAACCGTATTCAAGTAATAATAATTCATACAATGTTATTTTCGGAACACAAAACAAGACAATCCATGGGCATGGCTAAAAGGAATTTGATAAAAGCGAAATGAATAATTTAGCCATGTATAAAGCGCAGAGTCTGGCATAGACTCGTATAAAATCAATTGAATTGATTTCATTCACTGTCAAAGTACATTTTTGGCAACCCAGCCTGTCGGCTAGTTGGCCAAAATATATCAAAAATTGGGCCAAAATTCTTAATTGAAGTCGCGAACTATACGAGGGCTGTCAATTATCTTGCTGGCAATCCAATTTGAAGCACTTAAGCCAAAAGTCAAAGCTACTGTTGGGTTTAAATGATTTATATTGGGCATCGTACATATTTGGAACCTGATGAAAAATTCGGGCTTTACATATTTATGCGATGGCAATTGCTCATACATAAATGGCAAGCCTCGCATAAAGATAATTCACAGCTGAGCCAAGGGAAGGACCACGCCAAAAAGGAAGCCAGCTCAAAGGACAAACATGCCAGAGGCAAGGACAAAAGTCAAAGCAGTTGCCGGGCGGCTCTCTGAGGTGTTGTCAACAGCAAAAGCTTCAAATCAGCAAAAAAAAAAGAGAGAAATGAAAGGAAAACAACTATATTTGGTGTGCGGAATTTCAAATACACTCGCCGACTTAAGACTCAATTAGATGCTGTCATTTATATGTATAAATATTACCCAGCGTTGCCCGGCCCAAGTTTTATTCGCTCCAACTGTTATTCATTTCTTTTCTATCCCGAAAGGTCAAAATTCTCAACTTTATCCATAAATCCTTTGACTCACATTTTCACACCCAGAAGGGGTGCATTTTACGAAAAGTATAAAGTAAGGATAGCAAAGAAACAAGTTTCACACCAACATTTCCGTTAATTTTCCACTTTAGCGGGTGGAATACTCAAAAATTACGCCGTTGGGCTGTGCGTTGTTCACTAGCCAGTCAGGATAGGCAGCTTAAAATAAATATATATATTTATATATCCGAGTTGAAAACCGTAAAGATGAATATATAATAAATTGATTTCTTTCAGTATTCGAACCAACTACCTGCATTTAGGTTTGGTTCGTGAAACTCAGTTTCCAAATGCCTGAACCCAGGTTTTAGTTTATTCTTCGACTTGTCATAGAATTTTTTAAACATTAAACAATTTAAATTTAATTTTTTTTGATTAAAATTTGATTTGATTAGCTAAATAAATCTCGCTATTTATTTATTTGTTTCGTTTTGCAATTTGTTGTTCGTCCGATTCATAGCGAAAAATAATCGGCTGATATATAAAACTTTGATAAATAATAAGTAAATCGGATCTTAAATCATAAAAATAAATCGATTTATATTTTCTCATAACTTATAAAATTATATAAATGCCCTCTGTAAGGGTATGAAGTCGAGGAACAAAAAGCAAATCAAGTATGTTTGGTGTGATACGTGGGTGGACAGGGGGGGGGGGGGGCGGGTGGTTGGTGGGGGTGGGGAAAGGCAAGCAACTACACATTTAGTGTTTATTTCGCATTTATTGAGGACAGTCGGGGCGGACTTGTGTGGGGATTTGGACCTTTGCAATAGAATGAAATCAGCACGAAATAAATATCCTTGTCGCATATACTCGTTGAACAGGCTGTCATAGCTCCCACCATACACACATACACACACACACACTCACACACATACACACACACACACATGGGAGTAATATAGGAGTATAAATTGTTTCCAGGTCATTGGTTATCCAGCCACAGAAATACGAAAATGAAATTAAGTACAAAATGAACTAAACCCCAAAAATCATATGACATTGATGATTATGATGAAAACGACAATGGAGTCGACGATGCCATATTCCAGACCAAGAAGCCAGTCGAGAAATGCTCGCATCAATGATTGTGTAAAGGAGCCAGACATGTTGCCAAAGGGGCTGCCAGCTCGTCTGCGGATTGGCCACATTAAAATAAAAGTCAAATGTTTTGGCCTTTTGTGACTGTGTTGGCTTCCATTGATGCGTGCAGTTTTAATGGTCAAAACATTTCGACAATTATAAATCGGGCACGTTTTCAACAAGCTCTTCGGCTCAATTTAATAGGGTATCAAATAAATTGCTATATTTTACTGGAAAAATAATATTTATGTATGCAAAGAAAAGCTAAGGAATTAAAAATGAAAACATTAACAAGCGAGTAGGGCAAGCCGAAGATTTAATACCCTTGCAGACCAAACCTTTTCTTAATTTTCGACTTATCGTTGCAATGGCAGCTAGTATATATTATAGAGGTCCGGTTCGGCCGGATCCGACATAAGTAGTGCCTGCAACAGAAAGACGGACCGGTGTACATTTTTATGTGGATAACTTTTAAACTGAGAGACTGGTTTACATAGAAGCAGTCAGACGTACAGATGGACGTGGCTATTCCAAAGACAATATAAACACCAAGATGAGTAACGCCATACAACAAAATGCTTCTAGCAGCTTGACTTTTAGAAAATTGGGAACGAAACGTAATCAGTATCATTTCTTCTACAGTCGAAAGAGCGAAAACTTTAAAAATATAATTCAATCTCAGCTCTATAAGGGACGTGAAAGCAATCAAGTCTGTATGTGTGTGAATATACAAATATATCAGCATATTTGAATGTGTGGACATTCAAGAGATTAATTTTGTTAGTTTTTTAGCGCAGACATGACCTATCCCAAATTTGTATACACATATGAATGTCTGTTTTGTACTGAGGTTTGTTTGGTAGAAAATCTGTATTTTCTAGTCGATGCAAATATTTATATAATTTCTTTAAATTAAATGAATATTTTTTGTACTCCCCAATTAAGAAATAAAAGAGTGCAATTTTTTATTTGTTTTTAAAGATACATTTTATTACGTGTTTTTTTTGTTGGTGTCAATTATTTTGTTTTCGAACTATAAAGGAAAGAACTCTATTTGTATTTTCTGGCACGCAGCCGACCAGGCTGGCATGTCGTGTGAAGTGAAAAAAGCCAGATGAGAAGCCAAGCTAGAAAGTTTGCGTCGCATTCAAATGTACGGGCGTTACCCATCTTAGTGTTTATATTGTCTTTGGCTACACCAACTCGATGCGGATCTAGAATATAGATATATATCTATATATATATATGTATATGCATGAGAACCGAGATGTCTCTTTCTATGCGTTACACATTTCATGCATAAACTAAAATGCCCTCTACAAGGGTATAAACAAGTGTGTTCCAATTGTTTTTAATATAATACAAATTTATGTTATTTATTTTGTAAGCTAATCTTCTGCTTCTTCTGTTTCTTATATTATTTATTACCGATTTAACTAATTCGTATTATCTTTAAACCCTGAAAAAGGGTATATTGCTTTTGTGCAGCTATCATCTACTATCCCAAAAGTGAATATATAATCTTGATCAGGACGACGAGCTCAGTCGATCGAGCCATGTCCGTGGCACTAATCACTAGAGCATCCTTAGTTGTTTATTTGGTTCGGTTTTGGAATTTCGGCTCGGCTCGAAATTAGTTTTTAGACTCGTAAAATGAGCTTTTTTATTTGCAATCTGTCAGCATTTCAATGATTGCCACTTATAGCCTGACCCATGCCTTTTGTTTATTTATATTGACTTCCTGACCCACTGATAATCGCTTAAAAGTTACCGAAATATTGGGCACCCGAGCTTCCGAATGATTGTCGCATTTCAGTCTATTTACGTGCGTGCTGAGTGCAGTTGAGAGTCGCGTTTAAATTTAAAAAATAATTAAAGTGCTATCAAAATGAAATGTGTTATGTTTATATATATTATATTTATAAGACTAATACTGATCATAGCTGAAACAGAGTTAAGCGAAAATGAGGTAAACAACAGTTTGTTTATCAATGTTTGTGTGCACTGTAAAAAATAAATCGTACTTTATTTATTAGTCTTGTTTGACAACCGTTCAAATCCAAGACTATGAAGAGCAGCTGGAGAAACAAAAGATGCTAATTGATCAAAAGGACCAACAAATATCCGAACTCAAAAACGAAATCAACAATTGTGCCAAGAAACTAAAAAGCTGCAAAGAGCAAGCTGTTTGCAGTGATTGCAGTCACTTTGGAGATGCTCCGGGTATTCATAAATTTAAAACGAAAGAAGATTCTTTCGATGTACTTTGTGAGAGCGCGACAGCAGGTCCTGGCTGGACAGTTATCCAACAGCGAATCAATGGCAAAGAGGACTTCTCTAGGGATTGGGCCACATACCGTGCCGGCTTTGGAAGCTTTGAAGGCGACTTCTTCTTAGGGCTTGAGAAAATTCATCGCTTGACGAGCGCCCAGCCCCATGAGCTCTACATACATATGGAAGGATTTGATGGTATCATCAAATACTATAGATATGAACAATTTGCCATCGCTGGCGAGGACGATCAATACAGACTGATCACCTTGGGTAAAGCTGAAGGCAATGCAACACGCGATTACTTGAATTACCACAGAAATATGAAGTTCAGCACATTCGATCGAGATAATGATACTTGGGATAATGGCAGCTGCGCAAGTAAAAGATTGTTTGGTGGTGGCTGGTGGTATAATAACTGTGCATCAAGGTATGAATTCTCAGAAAAAAAAAAATTTAATTTAATTGTTTTTTTTTGTTTTTTTTAGCAATTTAAATGGCAAATACTATACTTCTTCGACGAACGAACCGGATGCCATATATTGGGATGGCATAGCCTCGTTGAAAAAAGTCAAAATGCTTATACAACCCAAGAGCTATTGAAAATTGAAATAGTTGTACCTAAAAACAAATACAATTCTTTGAAATATACGATATTGTAGCTAACTCCATTATTCACTTTTATATTGAATCAATGGAATCATCGGGCTATGCCCGAAAGAAACAATATTAAAGGTCTCCTCGAGGCACGCCCCTTTTCAAATTTTACTATCTATTAGTGATGTATCTATTATTTCACGTATATGCTTTCGTTTTTATTTCCAAGCAAGTTTAAGGTTTGTTGGCCTCATTGTTTTTTATTGAGGTGTTAACATCGATTGGGATATAAATCACATTTGCAGCTCAAATAGTTTAGCATGCCAAATGCACCCACACATATGCAGATATGTTTCTGTATACTAAACTTGATCAACTTTAAAATAGCCACGTTGTAAAATCAATTTGTGATACAAACTAGTAAGTAAGTATAACTTCGGCCGATTAATTAATACCTTCTTAACATTTGCCTTACGGTTTTCCAGATATGTGAGAATAGTGAAGATCGTAAATGCTGAGTTTGAAAAGAATATCTTGGAAAACAGAATATGGAAGCTATATGATATAGTCATCCGATCTAGCCAGTTCCGACAATTTGTATACATTTGTATTGCAACAGAGTTTCATGACGGTAGCTTTAAAACTGAGAAAATAGGTCACATAGAAACAGACAGACGCACAGACGGGAATGGCTAGATCGACTCGGCTATTGATGCTGATCAAGAATATATATACTTTATGGGGTTGGAGATGCTTCCTTCTCCCTGTTACATACATTTGCACAAAACCATTACATCCTTTGTATCCATTTTCAATGATACAAACATCAACATTTTAAAAATGTTGCTACAAAAATACTCGAAGTATTAAATTATAATTTCGATAAGAATATGTTAGAAATGTAAGTTAAATTCATAATTAATTAAATGGCTCTATTGAAAGTAGTTAAAATTGTGAAGTTCACACGAACAGAATTATGATTTATTGTTTTTATGGTTTGCAGAGTTAAATAAATACGAGCAACAAAGCATTTCTAATTAAAAGATTATTTATAGTAAATACTAAAACTAAGCACAATTGATTCGATTTTAACCGATATAATTATACATTCAACATTTCATATATATTTAAAGGGCAAATAATTTGCCCAATCAACAAGATGTTATAGAAATAATGTTGCCAAATATTAGGTAAATACATTATATTATTTTGTATTTTCGAAAAAGTTGGCTTTTGCTGTTTAATCTCTCGCTCGGGGTAGAGTAAGATAAGTAATGCCCGTTAATACGTATTTATTTATGTTGCCCAAAAATTTGAATAAAGTGTTTCGCTCTTAATATACCCATTTCGCTAAGCACTTTGTCAGGTCTCTGGCGGGGAAGGTCGCTTGCTGAGTGGGGGAAATTCAACTGCTTCCGTTGGTGCTTAACGCAACAGCGCTTAGAATACAAAACCCAGGACTCAACCTCACTCTCACCGTCGCCGTCGCCGTCGCCGTCGCCCTCGTTCTCAGCCTACAGCACATTTACTTTTATTTCAGCATTAAAAGTTCAGTCGAGTGGCAAAGGAAGTGAAAACAATTATCTGCAGGAAGGTGAAACATAAATCTTCGCATCCAAAAGTAAATTGCAAATTTTCGTTTATTACTTTCTATGTGAACCGAATGCCAGGCACCCAACCCAACCCAACCACAAGATTTGTGTGGTTAAATCGAATCGATATATTTTATGTTATCGAATTTATTATGCAAACACACTCAACGCTAATGCCAATTGGTGTTGAGTTGCCAAAAATGACACACGCGCCCAAAACAACCACCCACGCAGCCCTGCCCGCCCGCCCCCCGCCCCCAAATCCAGACGGCCTGGCCTGGCCTGGCCTGGCCAGGTGCATGCTTTGAGTATGAGATCCAAGAGCTGGATTCCAGCTGGCTGACAGGCATCAACTTGAGAAATTGGAATTGTATAAACAAGCAATTCGAGGATTCTTGCTTGGGCACATTTATGCTGCGCTCTGTTTAGCATTAAGTGCGATTATTGCTGTTGGTATTGATGATGTAGGTTTATGGCTTCTGGCTCATTTATCAAATTAAATGGGGACAAAATGCTTTCATCTTCTGCATACAATTGGCCATATTAGCCATAAAGAGCCAACAGAATTGCCAAAGGTAATAACAATTCGAAAATGTTAATTAATTTCGCATTCGGCAAATGAAACGATGGCAATGGCACATTAAATTAAACGAAAAACTGTTTATATTTAACGTACATACTAAAGAACTACAGTTTGACACCTTGGCAAAGATTAGTATAAACGTTAAACGTTAAATGTTAATTATTTTCATGGAACAGAACAATAAATAAGAAACGTTTTTGTATTTAGCTATAACAACTACAATGACTACATCTAAATGAACAAGTAGATGGACACGAGTATACGGATAAAATGTTAATTTGATTCAAATTGAAACGGTGAGAATGGAACAGAAAAGGATACAAATGCTGATTAATATACTAGATAGTCCGATCAGGTTCACGTTTAATTTAACTTCATTTATTTCGTATTGAAACGATGGGAAAGGAACTGAAAAATGTATGTATGTATGTAGCTCTAATGTTGAAGAACTATATCTTAACATACAAGTATACGGCTACGAGTTTACGGATGAAAGCTTGATCCATTTCGTATTGAAACGGTGAGAATGGAACCGCAAAATGAACAAATGCTGATAAGTATATCAAATAGTCACAATCAGGCTATCGTGAGCTTTCGTAGGGATAGAAACAATGGGAATGGCACAAAAAATAAATAAAAATAAAATGTTGATATTATTAGTTTGAATTATTTATCTTGGTGCAGAAGATACCGTGAAGAAGATTAGTAAAAACATAAAACATTAATTAATTTCTTATTTCGATGAAATAACAACGGCAATAGAACAGAAAATACAATAAAACATATAATAATTGGGAAACTGTTTCGTATAAGGCTTTAATATTGAAGAACTACAACTTGGTATACAAATAGATGGCCACAATTAGGCCGTATAGACCCAGCACCTCGGAAAAGATCAGTATAAGGATCATGCCCACAAATAGACGCGGCTGCTGGGCTGTTGCACGCACACAGGAATCTCCAACAATGCCAATGGCCAGGCCCGCCGCGAGACCGGCCAGGCCGACGGTTAGTCCAGCGCCCAAATGTATGTGAGCCTTTTGAATGCTATATTTGTCGTCTATGGCGCCGGATATGAGCACTGCGACAACTAGTCCATAGATTGCTATAATGCCAGCCATCACCACCGGTATGATGGATTTCATGATTAGTTCTGGCTTGGTTATGGCCATGCTGGCAATGCCCATGCCCGACATTGCCGTGCCATATGAGGCACCCAATGTGGAAAATATGATGGCACTTGCAGCTCCCAAGCCGCCGCAGAAGACAGCGTAGCTGGGCTTATCGTTATCAGCCAAGGCGTTTGACATGCTCGTTCGATTTTCTCGGAATTTTCTAGGAAATTTCTAGGATTACAGATTTTTCTTATTTTCGATGTTTCGGAACCGTCAACGTTGACAAAACAGCCTCGAACGAAACAAATCCTGTTCTATAGACGTGCTGCTCCAAGCCTTCTTAGATAACCCTCTTTTAACTGCATAGCTGAGAGTGCAACTAATTTGTGTACAGCCGGGGAGTAGAGAGTGGAGGGAGTTTTGAAGATATAAATGAAGATATTGACGAACCCATAAAGTATATTTACGCTTCATCAGTATTCCGATTCGATTTAGCCATGCCCGTCTGTCAATATGCTATGCAAACTTGTCTCTCAGTTTGAAAGCTGTCGTCATATAAGTTTTCATAGGTTTACCTTTTTGTCGCAGGGATCGGACTATATCATATAGCTGCCATAGAGATAATCGGTTGTAATTTAAGTTTTTGTATGGACAACTTTTCAGGCTCAAGCTATGCAAATATGGGCTTCACTCTGCTGCTAAGCCGTAACAAACTGTAAGCGTATTTAAACTTCGGCGTGCCGTTAGCCGCTCTTTGTATAAAGTTTTCAATGTGTTTTTTTTTTTATGATAATTCTAATATTTATGCGCGAGCTGATATACCCCGAGTAGATGATAACACAAAGCGTTAAATGTATGTCTATTATAATATGCAATTTTTTTTTTTCAACCTCTTGTTGCTGCTCGGCTGCTAACGAGGTTTATCTTTATGTGCCGTTAAATTTTCCGGCTACCCATATATATATAAATACTTTCAGCAAAAACTGTGGAAAATTTATGGTGAAAACCATGTTAGCGGTTGGGTAAGCTCAACTCCAACCCCGAGTAAGCAAACCGCAAAGCGAATTCTGGCTATTGAAAATCGAAGCTGCGGTTTTTCTATATTTGTTGTTGTTTTATGTTGTCGTTGCTCTTTTCTTTTTTGCATGCTTTGAATGCTTTCAGCATTTCTTTGCTTTTCCGCACTTGTTTCAATTAAACAAATTGGAATATATGAACCCTAGTCGAGGGCTGTGGCGTGGCGGGTCGCCTCAACCCGAGTGCTGGGCGTGAGCTTCAAATGCGCAGCGACAATTTTCTTTGCACAAAACAAAATGGAAATTTGTTTCTGGCACCACCGGGAGCAGGCAATGTTGCCGGCGAGGGGGTGGTGGGGGTGGTGGGTGGTTGATGGTTTTTCACTTGCTTCTAGCATAGCATGACAACGACAACAAGTCCTCAATCCCTGCACAGCGCATGGTCTGATATAGCAGCTTCATGACATTTTTATTTGTGTGCCAGGGAATGTTTTGCATTTTGAATATTTTGCGGGATACTGGATACCACCACAGAGGGGGCTTACTTGGGTTTTATTACATGGGTTCGCTTCTGTTTTGGCGCTGCTCCCGTCTGATGTGATTGTTAAGTTGTCGCAAGGTGCCACAGATTCGTTGCGCCTGGGAATTTATGCGTAAGGTCACCCTCGGGCGCTGGGTTCTAGTCGTAATGAATGCTCAAACACTTAAAGAGTTGGCTCTCTCTATAATTGCCACATCATATTTAATACAAGGCAACAATTATTTGGTATACAAATAGATGGCCACAATTAGGCCGTATAGGCCCAGCACCTCGGCAAAGATCAGTATAAGAATCATGCCCACAAATAGGCGTGGCTGCTGGGCTGTTCCACGCACGCCGGCATCGCCAACAATGCCAATGGCAAAGCCCGCCGACAGTCCGGCAAAGCCCACAGATAATCCGGCAGCCAGATGAATGTAGCCCTTCCGTATTGTATATTCGGGCGACAGCGAGCCGGCAATTAGTACCGAGACGACCAGGCCATAGATGGCTATAATGCCAGCCATGACAACGGGTATGATCGACTTCATGATTAGCTCCGGCCGCATCACAGCCATGGCGGCGATGCCCGTGCCGGACTTCGCGGTGCCATATGCTGCGCCCAGGGATGAGAATATGATGGCCGATGCGGCGCCCATGCCACCAAAGAAAAATGCATATGGCGGCTTCTCGTCCTCGTTCTCGGTTTGATCAGGCATTTCTCTTCACTTTTGACAGGTTCTCGGTTTGCTTTTTGTTGTTATTTTAGTCCTGCTGCAGTTGAGATCTTGTTAAAAAATTTAAAAACTCAGTTAATTAGTTTAAAGAATTTCGGAATCGCATTCAGATGACTTTTGATTCAACGATTTATTCTCTCGGCTTGCTTAGTCCATTTGTATTTTTGATAATCCAAAGGTTTTGGCAGATGTATAGGTAACAACCAAAAGAAAGACTCCATATAGTATATATATTCCAGATCGAACATGCCCGTCTATTGATTTGTGTGCATGCGTCGATCTTAGGCACTAAGAAAGAGGGACCCATAAAAATTAAAAAATGTATTCTATACCATCCGATTTCAGCTATCGATATCGATAAATATCGATTTGAATAAAATGTTCTGTTGGGCGCAACTCGAAAACTATAATTGTCAGCTGGTATCGGATAGTACACTATTTTTCTTTTTTAACTTCTCACCATTTATTCACTTCATTTTTAAAGGTAGAGCCTTGTGCTTTGCTTTATACATCGAGTTGGGTGCCAGCTTTGGTTTAAAGTAAATTTTAACAGCGACATTTCGGTTCTGTTTAGAACTTCTCAAATCATTGCTACTGACGGTAGAATTTCAATTGTTGAAGTTTTGACAAGGCCGACGAGTTGCTGTACACGACTTTCCCAGAGTTTTAAACATTTTAAAACATTTGTCCCATTTATCCTCAATAAAATTGATAATTTAAATAGTTTTTTTTTAGTTCTGCTTTAGACACTGATAATCAAATCAATATCTGCCTTGTTGATCCATTGGGCAGCCCTCGCGCAGTTCAGCCACTTGGTGCCAAGATATTCCATTAAAGATTTATGTTGCGCTGGGATTTGGTAGCAAGGAAAACTTGTTCCCAGCTTCAGTCCCCTGTTCATAGTTCTGGTTGGCATTGTTGTTGCCACTGTTGCGTTTTGTGCCGTTTGTGCAACTATAAATCGTTTATGTATTTTGTTGAGTGCGAGGATTTATCGCTGGAGCTGAATATGAGAAAGGAATCACATAAATACAAATAAATCAAAAGCATTTCGAATGGCATTGGCAATACAAACAAGAATTGAAGAAATATAGAAATATATATATGTATATATATATATACATACAAAAAGAAGAAAATGTGGAAGCTGTAGTAGTTGCTGCCGCTAGGCAAACTGTGCGAAAATTGATGTCTTTGCTCGTAAAAATAAGGCATCAAAAGAATCGGCTATGGCCAGGCCGAGGCCCAGGCACAGGCACAGGCACAGGCTGAATGTGTTTTTGTTGAAAGCAACATTGTAAATTTTATGACTTTTTTATGCGTTGAAATCTATAAATTATGTAAACTGACACTGACAGCTGTCAACTGGCAGGCTCTGAGCGCAACGCTGAAACCGAAACGCTGGCAAGTGACACATGTGTCAAATGGGCTGATGGCAGCGCCTGCGAATTCGCCATGCCCAGCGCCAGGGCCCAGCACCCCAACACAATCGGAATATACCCTACCCTACCCCAACCCCGCCCTCCAAGCGCAGAGCTCTGCGATAAAGCGAGGGCAACTGATGACTCGAGATGATTAAATGATTGCCAGCAGCAATAAAAAATTGATGCTTCAAATTATTGCTTATATATATTTTATATATCTTCTTTTTTTTTTGTTTTGTTTTTGTTCATACACTCCCATTAGAAGAAGAACAGCTGAGTTAATGCTGTTTGCGTTGCGTCCTTTTATTGCATTCCACAGTCTGCCATTAGTTCTAAAGATAATTTTAACTAGAAGCTTTCTAATGTGCTTTATAAGTACATACTAAAATGTTGCCGTTTATTTGCTTTTCATTATGCAGAAAAACACAGTTTAAACGGATTTCGAAATATGCACGCTTAGCCACTAAAACATTTAACTATTAGACTTAGATGCTGTCTTCTTATTTGGCTTATATCATTTTTGCTTAGTACAACAATCTTGCCGAAATTTATTTATTCTCGAAATTCTCAGACAGGGCTGCAAACCGGTTTTAGTTTGAGCTGGCTCGAGCGCCAAAAAAAACCAAGCCGAAATCTCGAACCGAAACATTTATACTTTTCACAAATTCCTAATCTCCAAATAAAATTAATTTCCAGCATCAATGCATAAAATACTTACGAACATGACTTTAATGTAACCATATTTGGTAGATGCCAGAATTTGAATAGATGTGAATATATTTTTTTTAAATTAACGAGAACAAAATAAATGCCAAAGATTAAATTCCCTTCCAGACGTTTGCTTTCCGTTATTGCAGATATGTTAGAATATGACGAAATTATCTTGAAAAACAGATTATTTTGACATACAGCAATTTATTTTTCTATCGAAGGTTCATTTTTTATTGATCATTGTTGGGGTTAATCAAGATATCTTGATATACAAACAAGTTTTTCATACAAAAACTTTATTTTCAAAGCGATCGTTCATATGGTTCAGGTATATGATTATGGTCCGATGTTGATATATGCGAAGCATATTGAAACTAAAAATGCCTAGTTTGGATAAGATATCATGATACAAAAAAAGATTTCCATATAAGAACCTAATTTTCGACCGATCGTTCGTATTGCAGCTTTATGATATAGTGGTCCGATGCGGTCGGCTCCGACATTTGCCCAGCTTGCAACGGAAAGACGCAAAGTTGTGAGACGATAGCTTCAAAACTGAGAGGCTAGTTCGCATAGAAACAGACATAGGATGGACAGTCTGATAGACGGACAGACGGACTATATTAGCTCGGGTGTTGATGCTGATCTAAAATATATATACTTTATAGGGTCAAAGCTTTCTACACATTTAATGAACAAATTATGATATCCTCGAGAAAGTGTATAAAAATTATATCATTTCGTTAATATTTTCAAATTCAAATTTCAACTAAATCAAATCCAGGTCTTATACGCAGTTGTTTTGAGCCGTAAGACAAACCACCAACAAATATAATATTTAATTTACTGCCCGGTTTTCTATATGAAATTATATTTTGAGATTCTTGTCGATTGGCTAAAAATGCTCTTCGCTTATTTACGAAATAGATGCTATTTCATTTATAACCAAACATTCAGGTTAACGTTAGTTTCTGAACCCCCTTGACCTGTTTACTACACAGTTTTCACGTGTTGCCATTAACCTTTCCGTTTTATAAATTGCCTCAGTGCGTTCCCTGCCAAAATGCAATAAATGCTGGCCTGGGTTGGATATGGTACGGGTATATGGTTTGGTATGATATACCAAGTGGCGGGCACTAAAATAACAAACGAAGGAAATTAACCAAAAATAAATTAACTGGAAAACCCGGCCAAAAGGGTTTTCATTTACGCTTTGCTGCTGGCATCTGCAAGGGCTGGGTTGGTGTCAACTGTCGCCGACGGCGACCGCGACTGCGACGCTGACTTTGTGTGTGACTTTGGGATTCCCAAATGTGCTTTCGACATGCAATTTTTATTATTGACTCGCGTTGTCGTGCCAGCGCGCAGCTTTTCAGCATTTTCCGCTCGACGAGTCGCAAAAATGCCATTACTGTCAATCAGGAGACGGCAAAAAATCCTGGAATCAAACCAAAAGCATTAAAGCCCTGCTCGCAAGTATGAATGTGTTTATATACAAATAGGTATATAACAAAAATGTGAAACTGAGCGATACCCTGGACTTAAAACGTAAATTACTAAGACATATTTTGACAAAATAATAAGTATATTTAAAGCTGGAATTTATGAGAACTACAAATAAAAGCAAGCAAGAGATATGTATATACATATATATATTAATTTTTCTTAAGAAAATTTCGCCTGCTAATGCGTTGGGATTGGCAAAACAAGGGGAAGTAAGTCTCTTCGACTTTTCTTTTTATTTTTTTTTTTTGCTAACTTGATTAGAGTTGAAACGAGAAACAGTTCTTGCAAAGGATAACTTATGTAAGTTTATGATGACAGTTGCAAGTTGCAGGTCCCAGACTAATGCAACTCCCCTCCACTCCCCTCACCACTTCAAACAGCGCTATAAAACCTTTGGGGGTGTTGACCACTCAGGTGACAATAATTTCGCGCCATCGCGGCACAAAGGTGGAAGAGTATTAAAACGGGCGAATAGTTTGCGTGTCACGCAACCATTCCCCCACATAGAGTGGGTGGGCGGGGTAAGGGCCTGGAAATTGAAAATTGTCAGAAATGAGCCCAAAACAGGCCGAAGAGTGATTGCCAACATGCATCGCATATATTGGCGTGCCAAACTCAACGATTTAGCTAGTACATAAGTATATTAAGTTTTCTGTTTAAGCTTTTTTTTTGTTTTTGTTTATTATTTTCTTTTGGGCGTAGCGCTTGTTGATATTGGTCAAAGTTGGAGTCAGACGCTTGCGCTGATATATCTTTTATTATGTAGTTTTGTGTCATCGTAAAATCGTCGGCTATTACTTGATTGTCCTTCATGAAAGCCATAAAGTTGCTGCTGACAGCCCCCTGCCCCGCCCCTATTTAAGAAACCGGCCTACGGTTGCCATTGTAAAATGATTTACTCGCCTCTCGCCTCTCGCTACTCGCTTCTCACTCATTTGTGGCGTACGAAGCGTTTTGGGCTTCTGCTCCATCTACACCAAGACTACTCATTTTTTATGGCTCCGTTTTTTTTTACGGTCTTTTACAGTTTAACGACGCATTACTGACACACACACACACACACACACACATAGGCTGGGGCAACCGGCTACGAAAAATCTATTCATGATTTCGTATAACAAAATACTCTTCACATTTTATCGTATTCATTCTACTCGGTCTTGTCTATTAGGCCGGGCCGCCGAGTTGATATTTGGTTTGCTTTTTTGGTTTTTCCGTTTCTTTGGGTTTCGCTTTTTAATTTTTGGGCGTAGCAATTTTCTCGACATTTTTATGATATGCCATTTCGTCATTCCCATTGTATACCCTATTTATATATATATACATATATATATCGCACTTTAATTTCGTACTCTGGTTATATTTGCTGACGGCTTCGTTATTTTTTCACAGCCCAGCATTAAGTAATTTATACAGGCCGTATATTGGAACAATTTCGGCCTAATGGACGTCTTAAAAATGCATTAGATTAATGAAACTGGATTTGTTTCGTTGTGTATGTCGTATGTCGTATGTCGAATGTGTACATTGAAAGCAGGTTCCTGCTGGGCTCATGATTTCATGTCAA